AAGGAATTTTAAATTCTTGGTATTTGAATTACTTTGATTTCAATTTCTATCATTCTTAAAATATTTTGTTTGGATAAGTCAATTCAAATTTCTCAAATTTTAAATTGTTAGGTTGGATATGATAATTTGATTCTACCATGATAAAATTGATTTTAAAAATATATTTATATGTTGAGATTTTTAAATTAAATTTTATAAAAATAAATATTAGCTAATTTTTAAATATTGAATAATTTTAAAAATTAATATTAGATAATATTTAATAATTTTAAAAATATTTTTAAATATTCAATAATTAAAAACATGAAGAGATAAGAAATAAGATAAAATATATAAGTGAAATAAGAAGAAGAAAATATGAGAAATTTTAAATTCTTACTTTTTTGGGAGAATTTGAAATTCTACTATTTCAAGAAATTTCACAAATGTTTGAATTTCAAATTCCTTATAATTTCTCCATTCAAACAAGATATTTCACCTCAAAGAATTTAAAATTCTTCAAATAAATGAATTACTCCATTTAAATTCCCCATCCAAACACACTATTAATGAATTTTGAAATACCGCATTTAATGAATTTTCAGTCTGTCCATATTTTTTTTATTGAAAAATAGCGTTATTATTTAAGTAAAATTGTATAAAAAAATAATATATTTATTGTTTCTCTTAATATGTGTTTGTGGTCATTTAATTTAAGACATAAGAAGCCTTTTTTTTTTTTTTTAATGGTCGCTCATAAGATTTATATTTACACTTTTTTATTATATTTACAGTTATTTTTTTGTTTGAAAATAAATTGGATTCCGTAGTTTATAGAAAGGTGAATCCAATGAAACAAATTTCCCCTTTTAAAAAACTGTCAATTTTTTTTAAAAATAAATTATGTCCCAAAATTAATAACGTTCAATGTTTCAGAAGGACCAATCCACCAAAATTTTAAAAACTCAAACTTAACATAAATATTAAAAATAAGATTAAAAAAATGAATAATTTAGTGTATACATATTAATCATATTTTTTTTAAGTAAAGTTTGTTTTCTCTTTCCTTAATAAAGTTATTTTATTCCTTGACATTTATTATCATCCTTTTATTTTAGTTTCAACATACATGTTTATTATATATAATTAAATTTTATAATATATATTATTTATATTTAAATATAAATTATATTTAAAATTTATATAAATAGATATTTTTCAACATATAAATTATGTTTTAAATTTATAATAAATAATTTATTTTATAATATAAACTTAATTTATTTATTGATAATTTATTTTAAAAGCTTCCCTTTAATACCCAGA